TATTTACTTTTGAAACTTTTTTGTTAAAAACCAAGGCACAGACACACAAATTGCCTAGGATTACACAGGGTCAGAATCATCAGGACATCACTAGACGATAGTTTTTCAGCTCCACCATTGTACACGTGACTGAAAACGTCATTAAGTGGTACATGACTGTATATCCTTTTGGGGCCCTGTGATGTTTCACTAAAAAGTTCCAGTAAAATGTAGATATAAAGAAGGACCCATGAAAGAAGGACCAGGATGAAGCACAGAAAAGGAGTAGGAGAAGCACCATGTTTGTAGCTGTCTCTGCAGATCAGTTGGGGAAATGCTTCTCGGCGTTGCTATGACTTAAAGATTAACTCCAGACGGCATGACGGCTTACAGCAGAACGGAAGACATCCAGAGGTTTACAGGGCAGGTGGATGGACTAAAGGGCCATGAACATAGAGCGATGTAGGAGTCAGTTCTTCAGCAGCCCCAGAACGTCTAAGGGGAGTGAAATGTCATGAGTAGCTCTCGATTGGTTATTTGATTATATACAAGCAGTAAATAGTTATTTAAAAATATTACTGATTGCGTGCCCTCTTTTGTGGCTTTTAAGGTTATTTAGCTCTCTCTGGACAGCACTTAGGGTATGTACTGGGCATGTCATTGCCTAGTTACTTCCTCCTCTAAATGCACGATGCTTCTCCCTACTGAAGTTTGTAAGGAGTCATTTGTGAGCCTTTAAGTTGCATGCAAGCATGCATTAATGTCAGATAAGATGAAATCTGGGCCAACAACAGGGTAATTTACTCTCCATTTATAATCAGCAGCAAAAAGCACCATCTCTCCAGTCCTACCACCCTCACCCGGTAGGTAGCCTTTTTCCCCATTTCGTTTTTGTCAAATAAACTTGATCTAATACACTTAATAGGTTTTTTTTTTGAGGTCCTTATGCAATCAAAAATCTTGTCTTCTTGTTCTTTCTACAAGAAAGGAGTGTTCGACCTCTTGAAAGTTTCCTTTTCATCTATAAATTTGAATTTGTGGCATTTCTGAGTGTTTCTACCTGTCTCTCTTATAGTTGACATCTGTTAATCATTCACTCACTAGTCATAACATTCAGGACTATGATATTTTTAATTAGTATCTCACCTCATAGAAAGAACTGTGCAGCTTTCACATCTGCCAGACCAGTCTTTACATGATTATTTTCTCCATCTGTCTGTGTCTGTCACGTCTCTAATTTTGTTTGTGCATCAGAAGTAATAAACAAGTAAAAACTTTCTGTTTTCCATTGTAAGTACTCCTGCGGTTTCTGCTTGTCCCTGGGATTGTCGGCAGTTCCCTCTCCACCTTCCCACAGCCATCTCTCCATAGCATGTTTACTTCTAGTTCTGAGTTTGATCTTCTGATGATTCTCTGCGTTTCACTGGCCACTTCATGAGTCAGTTTCGACCTGAAGTTGTCTGTACCTTAGAGAGTGAGGCTTGGCCTTTACACCTAGGTGCAAGAGCTTGCGCTCCCTGGCTTGGCAGGTGTCGTGTGGCACTTTGACAATACCAAGAGCTGGCTTGTCCCCAGGATCATCACAGCAGTGGTTTGAGGGACTGTTCTGCTATTTAATATTGGAAACCATTGGCTTTTTTTGTGGGATAAAACTGCTGGCTTGGACAGTTAATTTTGCTGAGTCAGCTCAACTTGAGTTTGGTGGGAGAGGGGGGCACTCAGTAAGAAGACTAGGGAAAGTAGATCATGAACTAGTGATTACGCACATTCTGGTAACTTGCGTGCTTGTCATTTACTTTTTTTCTTGCAAAGGAAAGAAGTTGCAAATAATTTTTTTCTCTTTAGTGGTGTTTTTACTGGAAATTCTGTTTGTTAAAACAGAAGAGAATCTGGCCAGGCACGGTGGCTCACGCCTGTAATCCCAGCACTTTGGGAGGCTGAAGCGGGTGGATCACGAGGTCAAGAGATTGAGACCATCCTAGTCAACATGATGAAACCCCGTCTCTACTAAAAAAATACAAAAATCAGCTGGGCATGGTGGCACGTGCCTGTAGTCCCACCTACTCGGGAGGCTGAGGCAGGAGAATTGCTTGAACCCAGGAGGCGGAGGTTGCGGTGAGCTGAGATCGCGGCATTGCACTCCAGCCTGGGTAACAAGAGCGAAACTCCGTCGCAAAAAAACAAAAAAACAAACAAACAAACAAAACAGAAGAGAATCTGAATTAGTCATGTGATCCCATATTGTGTGCTAGCCTGCAAACAACAGGTGCTTCAAGCTTTCCTCAGTTTCAGGCTTTGCGCAGTACACGGCATTCATCTTCCATCTTACTCATTAATGGGGATGGTAACTGTTTACTTACACATTTTTATTTTTATACTTTGTACTGACCACAGTTCTTCTCTGTGAGCACACACGTCTAACTGGAACTGTTATATGAGACTTCTGTGGTTTTTAGTGCAATAAAGAAGTTTTAAAGCATGTGATGATTTTTTTAATGAACATCAAAGCCAAGCAAGTGAGTGAGTCTCAGAGGAACTGAATGTCTCCAGCTGCTAAGGCTCTATGGTCTGAAAAGGTTTTGGTGGCATGTGATTAAAAACCACAGACATCAGAGTGCTGTGTTTAACAACTCACAGAGGCAAGCAAGGGAGTGTTTTCAGAGAATGAGCCCCGAAACGTGTGCGTTAGTAAATGTAACAACTCGCCAGAAGAAAAATTTTAACACCTCAAGACTTGCAGTCAAAGAAAAAAAATTAACAGAGATATTGGATAGAGACCTTTAAAAGACCTTTCAATCATGCAGATGTTTTTCATTGGGATACTTTCTTGATGGAAGTGGAATGGAAATACAGATTTAGGGAGGAAAAGGAATAACATACATTTCTCACTTATTCAGGAACTTGTTTGTGTAAATTTAAAATGGATCATATGGTATCAAATCACTAAGGTAAGTAGATACCATTAAGCAAATTCAATATTTAGAATATGCCAGACATTACATTCTTTGCAATTATTTAAATTTATGCGGATAAGTTTCAGGTGTAACTGGAAAATGCTAAGGGGTACATAGATTTTCAAAAAAATGAGCAGGCATCTGAGCAAAATAATGGAAAACCACTGTCTTAGACCACTTAAACTGCTGGCTTAGAAACTTAGCCTAGAGAAGCTCCTTTTTTAAAACCTCAGATTTAACTTACAGAAACTCGGTTCTATAAAACAGCATCTCACAACGAAAAGACTCCAACTTCCTCCTTGCTTTGCACCCAGATCTGTGGCTAACCCTCTCTCATATCTGTATGGAGTTGTGTCCAGTTTGTTCCATTCACAAGATGTCACTTTTCCACATTGCTTGCCCTCCTTAAGGGTAGCATCTAATCTGTTGCGTTTCTCAAGATGAAGGAGCAGTGATCTCCCAGATTTCAGACACTTCTAATAGGGATGGCCACGCTACCGATGAGGAGAAACTGACATACATATCACATGGTCAGAAATCAGCTGGGCTGAGGTGAAGGATGAGCCAGAGGAAGACCTAGAATACATTGAGTGTTCCACTGTTCCCGTGTCTGCCATAAATCACGCGTTTTCATCCTCAGAAGCAGGTATGGAAGCATATCTTCATCTTTCTAAAGTATGTAAGCACAGACATGCCTGGAAACCTAATAAAGCAGGAGGCACTTTACAGAGAATAAACAATTGGGTCACTTGAAGGATAGATTTAGGATTACTGGCCTATGCTTTGGTTTTCTGCCGAGAAAAGGGACACAAGGAAAGCTCTTATTGACGTACTAGAAATCTAGGGATACTTGTGGCAAGTTGTGTAGGGGACTCATATGTGCAAGACTGCTTGAATTTAGAATTTTCTGTGAACATGACCATATCTTATAGTGGTGTGTGAGTTCATATGGGATGCTATAAAGGAATACCTGAGACTGACTAATTTATAAGGAAAATAGGTTTATTTGATTCATGGTTCTACAGCCTGTAGAAGAATGACACCAGTGTCTGCTTCTGGCGAGGGACTCAGGAAGCTTCCAGTCATGGTGGAAGGCAAAGGGGCGCAAGTGTGTCACATGGTGAGAGGGAGGGAGGAACAGAGGGGGAGAAAGATACCAGGCTGTTTTTAACGAACAGATCTCGCAGAAACTAAGAGAGCAAGAAGTCACTCATTACCATAAGGAGGCCACCAAGCTATTCAGGGGGACACCCCATTATGACCCAAACACCTCCCATTAGGCCTCACCTCCACCACTAGGGAATAAGTGTCAACATGAGATTTAGAAGGGACAAATATTCAAACTATATCAAATGGCCTATAAATATGTCCTATATTACACAGCCATAAAAAAAATAAGTTCATGTCCTTTGCAGGGACACAGATGAAGCTGGAAGCCACCATTCTCGGCAAGTTAACAGGAACAGAAAATCAAATGCCACATGTTCTCACTCATAAGTTGGAGTTGAACAATGAGAATACATAGACACAGGGAGGGGAGCATCACACACTGGAGCCTGTCAGGGTGTGGGGGGAAATGGGAGGGAGAGCATTAGGACAAATCCCTAATGCATGCAGGGCTTAAAACCTAGGTGACAAGTTGATAGGTGCAGTAAACCACCATGGCACATGTGTACCCATGAAACAAACCTGTAGGCTCTGCACAAGTATCCCAGAACTTAAAGTAAAATAAAAATAAATAAATAACATAAATACGGCGTATGTTTGACTTTTTATGATTGTTGTGCTCATTGCTTAACTTACAGAAATAATAGCTAATACATATGGCGCCTTATCACGCACAGGCGTTGTTCTAAGTGCTTTGCATATTCTTATTCATAGCAAGGTGTTAACTCTTTTCTCCTTTTTTTCAGAGAAACAAAGCAAGGCAAAGAAATTAAGTAACTTGACTAAAGTCACTTGGCAGGTGTAAGACAGAAAAATGGTATCTTTTTCCTCACTCACCACGAGGTTCATGGCTGAGACATCACTGACGAAAGACAGATCAACAAGAGAAAAGCAGAGAGGAGGCTGCATAGCCGCGCGGAGGAGGCAGGAGCCAGAGCGCGAGCAGTAGCTGGGTGGGCACTATGGCTGGGATCACCACCATCAAGGCGGTGAAGAGCAAGATCCAGGTTCTGCAGCAGCAGGCAGATGATGCAGAGGAGCGAGCTGAGCGCCTCCAGCGAGAAGTTGAGGGAGAAGGGCGGGCCTGGGAACAGGCTGAGGCTGAGGTGGCCTCCTTGAACCGTAGGATCCAGCTGGTTGAAGAGGAGCTGGACCGTGCTCAGGAGCGCCTGGCCACTGCCCTGCAAAAGCTGGAAGAAGCTGAAAAAGCTGCTGATGAGAGTGAGAGAGGTATGAAGGTTATTGAAAACCGGGCCTTAAAAGATGAAGAGAAGATGGAGCTCCAGGAAATCCAACTCAAAGAAGCTAAGCACATTGGAGAAGAGGCAGATAGGAAGTATGAAGAGGTGGCTCATAAGTTGGTGATCATTGAAGGAGACTTGGAACGCACAGAGGAACGAGCTGAGCTGGCAGAGTCCCGTTGCCAAGAAATGGATGAGCAGATCAGACTGATGGACCAGAACCTGAAGTGTCTGAGTGCTGCTGAAGGAACGTACTCTCAAAAAGAAGACAAATATGAGGGAGAGATCAAGATTCTTACTGATAAACTCAAGGAGAGACCCGTGCTGAGTTTGCTGAGAGATCGGTAGCCAAGCTGGAAAAGACAATTGATGACTTGGAAGATAAACTGAAATGCACCAAAGAGGAGCACTCTGTACACAGAGGATGCTGGACCAGACTCTGCTTGACCTGAATGAGATGTAGAACGCAGCAGTCCCACCCTGCTGCTGCTTCTCCCTCTGACCCTGACTCCGCCTGAGGCCAGCCTGCCCGAAGCTGACCTTCAACTGAGGGCTGATCTTTAACTGGAAGGCTGCTTTCTCTTTCGCTGCCCCCCCTTCCCCTGTGTCTTATTCGCCAAACTGTCTCTGCCTCTTCCCGGAGATTCCAGCTGGGCTAGAGGCTGAGCACCTTTGGAAACAACATTTAAGGGAATGTGAGCACAATGCATAATGTCTTTAAAAGCATGCCGTGATGAACACATTTTGTAATTACCTTTTTTGTTGTTTTGTAGCAACCATCTGTAAAACATTCCAAATAATTCCACGCCCTGAAGCAGCAAGCTAATCCCTTTCTTACTTTTGGAAGGTGACTTTTCAGCTTAATGCATATTGCCCTCTCCATAGAAGACAGGAAAAGGTATAGCCCTGCCTTACTGAGAGCCAAGCAGAGCCCAGGGAAAGACTCCACTATGGGAAACCTCATTGCTCTGTACAAAGTACCAGCTAAACCAGAAAGGTGATTCCAGGAGGAGTTAGTCAAACAAGAACAACAACAAAAAAATGTGCTGTTCAAGTTTTCAGCTTTAAGATCTCTTTGGACAACATTATTTCTATTTTTTTCATTACAAGTGACCAAATTAAGATGGTAAGATCTCTGAGACCAAATTTTTGTCCCGTCTCTACTCCCTCCCAACTGCTTACAGAATGGATCATGTGCCCCTTATGTTGAGATGACCACTTAATTGCTTTCCTGCCTCCTTGAAAGAAAGAAGATTATGTTTTTGCCACTGATTTAGCCATATGAAACTCATCTCATTACCCTTCTCTGGATTTGAAGCTGCTGTGTCTAAAAGTGCCATCTCATTTTGCTTTGTATCAGTCAGTGCTGGAGAAATCTTGAATAGCTTATGTACAAAACTTTTAAAATTTTATATTATTTTGAAACTGCTTCTTTGGATTTGTGGCACCCTGGCCACCCCATCTGGCTCTGACAGCCTCTGCAGTCCGTGGGCTGGCAGTTTGCGGATCTTTTAAAGTTTCCCTACCCAGTCCCCATTTTCTGGTAAGGTTTCTAGGAGGTCTCTTAGGTGTACATCCTGCAGCTTATTGGCTTAAAATGTACTCTCCTTTTATGTGGTTTCTTTGCGCCGATTGGGAGAAAGAGAAATCAATAGTGTAACTGTTTTGATACTGAATATTGACAAGTGTCTTTTTGAAATAAAAAACCAGTTCCTCCAAAAAAAAAAAAAAAAAAGAGAAAAGCATACACATATATTTAACGTAAGTTTTACATGGTATTAGAGCCTCCAGAAATGAAGACCCAAAGAGATGGAAAAACTGTACTTTTACGGATCATTGTGCGTAAGTATGGTTGGAGGACAGAAGGGTGTGGGCTAGTGGTAATAAACTAGGGGAACTTAGCAAGTCCTGTTCATTTCGATTCCTCTTAAGAGTGTCATGTCTTTGAGGATAAGGACATTTTTTTTTCTGGGTATAGGGAGGACCCCTCTGTACTGACATCTTATGACCTATTTGCAGGGGAAGGTCTGAGGGATTCATTTATGGTCTGCTTCAGGGCAGAGAGCAGGAGAAGGACCAAGAGACCTTCCTGCTTTCTCTGTGTCCTCAAATGTTAAGTCCCCATATTTTGGTGTAGCATGTTCTGAACCTCGTCATTCTTAAACGGCATCTTCAAAGTTAGCAAACAGTGAGGGGGAAGATATTTAAAGAAGCTGATTACACTGTAACTGATCAGCCGCATCACAGGCAAGTGGAGGCTGCGATCCTGGGTGTGGGGGTGGCTGCAGGCCCTGTTAGGTGAATCCTGACCATGTTTGGGGGAGCGTCCCCTTTGAGCTGGGTCCTGATAGCTACTTACCTAGATGTTCTCCAGGAAAGGAGACCCTCACACAGCCAAGGGAAGGAAGCCACCATGTTGGTAAAATGCCAGTTGCTTTCTGTGAGTACAGAGCAAGTGGGAAGCAGGGTGACACTGTGGAATCTGGGCTTGATCCTGCAGGTAGAAAGTGGGGAGGTTGAAGGTTTTTGAACAAGGGAGTCATGGTCACATTTCTGTTTTAAATAATTAATTCACCACAGTAGTAGTTGGGGATTGCTGTGTGGATGACTGTAGCTTTAAAGTTTTGTATGCTTTTCTGCATTTTTATGTTTACTTCAGTGAGTGCATATTCTGGTTATTTTAAATGTCATCCTCCACGCTAGTAGAGGATCGACCTGAGACGAGGAAGCCCGTTTGAAGGGTGTGGAGGGGAGAATGACTTTAGTTTTGCTGGCTTGAATTTTAAAGCTTATTATCTTATCTGCTGCATTAATTAGATCAAGGCAACCCTGCTGGGCTGGAATTTAAATTCACTCAGACTTGATGATTAAAATAAAAGAAAATCAGCGTTAGAGTGTCAGCTTTCTGACATAATGCCTTGGTAGTCCAGTGCGTTCGCCAAGCTTTAAATGGACGCCAGGGAGCAGGCGTGCCGTTCTTCCTGCCCGAAGGTGGACGGCCTGTGTGTGGCTAACCAAGCGCTCATCTTTGCCATGTCCCGGACTTATAGCGCTAACCTGCACAGCGCTCAACCAAATGCCAGAATGGCATTCTCCTTTTAAATAAAATCTTGGAATGCTTTTTATGTGTTCATAGTCATTCTCGGCCTGCGCTAGGGTTTCCAAGAGACTCTCACAAGGGAGGAAAGGAACCGACTTCTTGGGATCACTGTGAAAATCACTTTCTGTCTTAGGCATAGAGAAGGAGATGTGCTAGAAGACGGAAGCAGATGGACCCGCTGTGCCTGTAAGTTCCTGAAGGTGGAGGGCCAGGTGGGGCTCAGGTTTCTTTCAGAATTTATTTGGAAGCCTATGTTAAATTCTGGTCAGTGTTAGGTGGAGAGGATAAAATATAAATAAGGCACAGTTTCTTCACCTGAGAAACACATTGTCACTGCACTTGAACCGTAGCTAGTCAGAACTGAGATATCTGATATGTGTAACGTGCAAGCAGTTCTTGAATGTCTTAACTTTTTTATATTAACTACATGTTGAAATAATATTTAGGATGTATTGGGTTACCTAAGGTATATTATTATTATTATTTGAGACAGTCTCACTCTGTCACTCAGGCTGTAGTGCAGTGATGCAATCTTGGCTAACTGCAACCTCCACTCCTGGGCTCAAGTGATCCTCCCACCACAGCCCCCCAAGTAGCTGAGACAACATGAGCATGCCACCACACCCAGCTAATTTTTGTATTTTTTGTAGAGATAGGGTCTTGCCATGTTGCCTAGGCTGGTCTCAAACTCCTGGGTTCAAGCGATCTGCCCACCTCAGCCTCCCAAAGTGCTTGGACCACACGTGTTGAGTCACGGCACCTGGCTGGTTTAATCAGTTCTTGAAACAAGCTTTAAACTTCCTGATTCCCAACTTATTCATCCATAAAATGAGCAGCACCCATCTACCTCGGCAGAGTGGGTGTGAGGATAAGATGAAATGACAGTATGAAAGATTTAAGCTGTAATGTGCTAGGATCCATTAGTGGTGTTGTGCTGGAATACACTGGTGCGGTGTTGATAGGAAACACACGGGAAAGAGTGTGAAAAAGACAGGGAAAAAGAGGAGAGTGAAAAAGAAAAATGGCAGGCGCTGTCTCTGGAGCCAACTGGTGAGGAATTTATATGCTGTGACCTTTTAAAAGCAGCTCCATTTAAACTTTCCAACAGAAATTAAGTTCTACTTGGAACACTGAATAAACACGGTATATAAAAATATTTCAGCATGCAAAATATGGAATGAAGGAATCTGTTTAATCCAGCATTTTCTTTTTAAGTTTCTCTGTGTTGCTCTGAAGTCATGCCCCCGTTCCTACGCTGCCTTGTGCCCAACAGGTGATGGTGGCTGGGACTGAGGCCAGAGTACAGTCGGTGGTGAGGAGTCAGTCTCACCCTGCTTTTCAGCTGCGGTTCCACAGCATTTTTTTGGAAGAAAGTTAACTTTTCATTTCAGGTTTTAAACTTCTTAAGAGCTGAGTTCATTTGGTTTTACTGGGCATGTCTCTGTTACGGTGCTGCAGGAGCTGGGGCTGCTCCTCTGTGATGGAGGACAAATGACAGGATGAGCACAGCTGGTACACTGCCACAGACTCGTGATGCAAATTCTCCTTCTGCAAGGACACAGCCATGGGAAGCTGTGGCATCGGGGCTCACTGTAGACTTGCAGCTGGGAGTCCACTGAGTTCTGTTATTGATTGACAGGTCTTTGTTGGTCCTCAACTGTGAACGTTTTGAGGGACTGGGAGAAGCACTGGCAAAGGTGAAATGAGGCCTTTTGGAAGTATGTGACTGATTGATTTCGCCTCTTCATTAAAGACACACTAGATGGCCCAGACAAGGAGATGGTGTGGCCAATTCTCTGTGATGGTAGATTCTAAAACAAGGTTGTTCAGCTTGCTTAATTTTGTTGTTGTCGTTGTTCTGTTTTGTTTTGTTTTAGGCTTTTAGCAGGCTGAAGCCATGGTTTTTAGTTTCTGTCTCTAGTGATAAGCAGAAAAGAGGGATGAGGAAGGGGCTTTACGGGCCCAACCAGAAACAGCAACTAAGAACCCATGGCTGTATCTCTCTGACATCCCTGTGAGCTGTCCTGTACTTTTTGAGCAACCTAAAGGACTAAGGAATGTAAAAAGTTAAATCCTAGGAGACTGGAAAAGATGGCTAATGTAGGCCATGCCATATATTCCTGCCCTTACACCTGTGAGAGCTGCTGCATTTTGAGCAGTGAGGCTCTTAGATGTGGCCAGGCTGAGCGGAGAGTGGCTGGGGAGAGCTGGCTGGCCGAAGAGTCCACTCGCCTGGAGACATCAAACGCCATCCAAGGTCTGACCTCCCGCTGCCAGCTCAGGTTGCTGCCTCTTCTGGATCCCACATGTGTTAGCATTAAGTTGTTAGGCAGACAGGCTGAATTCATTTGCCCCCCTCACAAATGAATGAACTGCTAAACTCTGTGATGGACATTCCTGGCTAAGAAGATTTTTAGGGGGCTTATTTCCCAAATTCTCATGAACCTGGTAGCCATGGGAAGCACTGAAAGTCTGTTTCCTAAAGTTGACTCAACCTGGGGACTCTGGCTTAAACTAAGAACTCACAAGAGACTGACCCATGAAACGTTATTAATTTAGAATCAGAAGTGTAACAACGAGGTGAATCAAGTGTCAACTTGACCTCCTGTCATACCTCCCTTTGGGCAAGTTATAGTTTCTTAATAAAAAATAAAGCACAGGAGGTTAATGAGATGATTCAAATATCTGGGGATGTATCAGCGATCTACCGTTGTGTAATACATTACTCCAAGGCTTAAAACAAGTGTTTACTGTCTCACTGTTTCTGTGGGTCAGGAATCTTGGGAGGCTTTGTTGGGTGCCTCTGACTCAGGGTCTGTTGCAATCAAGATATTGACCAGGGCTGCAGTTAGGGAGACTCCTGGGGAGGATCTGCTTCTAAGCTCACTCACGTGGTTGTTGGCATGTCTCGGGTCCCCACTGACTATTGGCAGAGACATTGGCTCCTTGCCATATGGGCCTTTTCGTGTAGCTTCTCAAAACATGGAGTTTGTTCAGAATCTCACCACAGAAGTGATATCCATGACATCTGTCATATTCTAATGAGTAACTAGGTCCAGCCTACGCTCAAAGGGAAGAGATTACAAAGGGAGAGGATGAGAACTGGGAGGTAGGGGTTAGTGGAGGGCATTTTAGAGGCTTCCCA